TTCAAAATAATATATTTATAAAGCTGATTAGGAATGATAAGGAAGCATTTTTTGACTAACAAAGTTTTTGATGAATAAAAAAACATATTTCAAGACAGACTGATTAATTTTTTACTTAATTTTAAGTCAACTAAATATTATTTTTGGCCTTATTGTCAACTAAATGTTATCTTTTATCTGATAGCTACTATTATGTATTATTGGCTTTTTTTTTCTTTTTAAGAAGAAAAACTAACAATTGTGTGAATTGTCATATCAAAATCTACTAACCTTTTTTTGATAAAAATCTTTGTAGAACTCCAAGTCAGTCTATTATTACAAATCAGACATTAAAATAAGATATTAAATAAAAATTATACTAAATACATTATTTTTATTATATTTGTTTTATTACTTGTTAAATTTTTATCAATAAATACTTAAAATATTGTTATCAACAATATTAATCATTAACTATGTTTATGTTGAAGAACTTTTACGAGGTCTATATTAAATATTTATATTCGTCTTTAATTCGGTCACATAAATAAAGTACTAGAATAAGATAGCTATCATACATAAAAATAATGAGATTTAAAAAAACTAATAATTAAATCATTATTTAAGTAAAACTAACTAAAAAAATTGAATAATAAATTGGTAATTAAAATTAGAAAAAATAAATAAAAATAATAACCCAGTGTTATACAAAATTAATGAAATAAGACTTGTTCTACAAAAAGATTCATTGAAAAAAATCAAGACGAAAAACTTTTTCATTTGATCATATTGATAGAAAGGTTTTTGTTACAATTTCTGACAGAAATAGTTTTTTTTATAGAATGAATGCTTGAGTTTAGCAATTCATATAAAAAAACAGTTAGTATATAAAATGTATATGCTTAAAAACGAAATACTTAAAAACATATATACTATATATAAACGAAACAAAAATAATGTATATTTATATTATACATTTCGATTTATTATTACAAAATAAGTAAAAATTCATCTACTTTTTTGAATGATAAGTGTAATCAAAGATAAATGACAAAGCTGAATGTCAAGTGTAAAAAGAAAAAAAAAAAAAAAAAGACAACAACATGTTAAAGAATTAAAAAAATATAAATTTTAAAAATCTACTGTTTATTATTTTGAATGATTATACTTTCTTTAATAATTTGTTTTTCTTGTAGATTAAACTGCCCACACAATTTTTCTACCCCAACCCTTCTCACTCATACTTTTAAAAAAATTTGGCTACATAATGGCTACTAATACTTTATGTTAAAAAATTCATTTTTCATTCAGAAATTTAAATATATATATATATATATATATATATATATATATATATATATATATATATATATATATATATATATATGTGTGTATATATATATATATATATATATATATATATATATATATATATATATATATATATATATATATATATATATATATATATATATATATATATACCAAAAAAAGTACTTATTATTTAATTGTTATTTTGTTTCTTTGTTCAATTTTTATTTAAAACAAACTAAGCAGAAACAAAAAACAATATTGGATTGCAATGAAATAGGTTATTTTGTTTTCAGTTAAACTTATCCATGATACTTTTGTCAGAAAGACATTGGAATCTAAACGAAGATGTACAACGCATAAATATAGACAGATGCGTGGAAACAGGAATAGGGGGCAATGGATTATCCTTCACCGGACTTTTTTTTTGTTTTTGTTTTTTTAGAATGAAAAAACGAAATTGATAAAAAAAAAGTTTTTTAATGAAAAAGTCAAACAAAGTTTATGTGTATATTTTTTTAAATTTTATAACACATACAAATAAAGAAAATTTTTTTTCAGGATATGAGGTCAAAAGCATTTAAAACTTCTGCACCTTCTGTGAACTTTTGTTAAAAAGCAAGCACAGCAATTAACACTTCCATACTATTATAGAATTTGCATTAAAATTGTTTACCATGTTCACACAACTTTGTTACAATTCACACAGTACAGTTGCATCCTCTACATTGGTTCAAATAAACCTTTTAAAATATAGTTAATTTGGAGAACGTTAAAATTAATATATACAGTCTTTTAGAACTCTTACACTGAATCAAGGAAAATGAAATTCTTTTTCTGTTGTTTTGGGTAATGTATTTTTTTAGTGTTTCATTTTTTGTATTGAAAAATTTATGATTTTAAACAGACTTAAAAATCTAGCAAAGATTTTAAACAGACTTAAAAATCTAGCAAACAAAAGCTATAATGAAAAGGTAAATAAAAATATATTAATTTAGGTAACCTTACGAAACCGCAGCTGCCTTATCTGAATAAAGTTTCATAATGTTCAAAATAAGAATAGATTGTCAAACCATGGTCGAAAGAAGCTTCCATCAACACTAAATCAAATAATGCTAATAGAATTGTGAATCAAAACTTACGAGTCAAACTTGATTTTCAAGGAAAATACTTTTTAGATTTTTTCTTCGAAGAGGCCACAAACGTTTTG